GAATGGTGTGATTTGATTCGAAAAGATGGGGAAGCTTCGGTCTCGCTATATCGAGCCCTTTTAGATCTTCGCCCGAGTCGGGGACTTGGCCTATCGGCTAGCTTTACCACCAGACTTGTCGGGAGTGCACGATGTGTTTAGGTCTCAATGTTACGTAAGTACGTGCATGACCCCAACCACGTGGTTGTAACGCCCCACTTTATTTTCCCGAAAATCAGAATAAATTTTTCAAACTTATTTCAAAAACATTATTTGAGGGGCTAGTCATTTTCAAAACAATAACCAATACTAAATACATCCTCAATACTCAACAATAATCAATACTCATAATCCATATTAATATCTCAATAATGCCAATCCAATAATAATCCTACGGAAATTAATCCCTATCAATCATTCAATAATTCGGTACTAGTGAAAAACAATAATCAATAATGCAATAACATTATATTCAAATTCAGTTTTTAAGGCGGAAGCATTTAATCAAATTTAAAGACCACAACTCGCGTCCCTTCCGACGTGCCCGCTTAACTAACCTGCATCCATGAAGAGCAGGTGGGGATGAGCACAATAGGAAAATCGAGGTGCTCACCGCTATGCAATAATTAATATCAATAATCAATAACAATAAAGGTATGGTCGCAGCATGTATACGAATCAATAATTGTCCCATCTCTTATCAATAATCAATAATGGTCTCATGTGCACACCTATAGCAATAGACTACTGCCGAGCTATATACCGAACGCCTTCCTCGAAGGCCTTACAACGAGTGCCTGGCTAGCAGGAGCAATAATACACCCTGAATGCCAAAACTCACGCCTTGACCTTACATACGATGATCACCAGCCAAGGCTCAGGCCCTGACTGTCAACAATAATAAAGGAGACTACCCGAAGGTACGTTCTATAGCTACGGGGATAACTGTTCAACGGCCGGTACAGCTCACATCGAAGGCTACATGGTTCATATACATACTTTGATCATACCACAACAATAACAATTAATTAAGGCCTAGCATTTAACAAATAAAACCCACCTGGAAATTGCAGTAGAAAATCACACACAAAGCTGGTACGTAGGTTGAGGCTCGACTCTTCAAACACCTACATTTAAGTGAGATAATTTATCAATAAACTATCTCACTATTCGAATTTATCATAAAACCCATACTTAATAAAAATTAAGACTTAAGGGTTTTAATCGGATTTTTCGTGAAATTGGAACTCTCTCATTTTTGCAAAATAGGACTAAGAACTAAATTGGAATCTCAGGACTAAAAATAAATTTTCCAATATGTTTCTCATTTAAAAAAAAAATTATACTTGAAATCGGTATGAAAAACGGCCTCGGAACACAAAAATGCCATTATAAAAAAATTGTCGCGAATTTGGGCCTGGATCACGCGGAATTGGGCCGAAACATGGCCTGGACCAAGGCAGGAACATTGTTGGCCATGCGGGCTTAATCTCGGGACGCTCGCGGGCTTGCGGGCCAAAATCGGGCCTTATGGCCCGCGCAGGAGCTGGCTTTAAAAAAAAAAAGGCCTACATTACGCAAGGGCTGGGAATAGAACACGCGACCTCATACATGGAAAAGTGAACAGCAACCACTGCACCACAACACCTAGTCGGAACTCAAACTGAAAACATAGACAATTGAAATTTAACGAAAAATCTGTTATTTGACAGAAACAGAAATCGAACATAAGCAGTAGACTTCGAAAACATATTAAATTTCTGGGCAACCGAAATCGAGGAAAAATCCAGACTTACGAGAATAACAGTTTTCAGAGTTCCAAAATTTCTTAAAAACGGGTTTATAAGGATCGAAAATGTAAAACAGCATAACCGGCTCCAACCGAACAAATATATACAAACGACGACTCGGACATAAAATCGATACTCCGAATTCAACCAAATTACTCACAGCAGCAACGAGACTCAATTAATACGATAAACGAGAGTTCTAAATCACAAGATAGTCAATAAGAATTCCGACACAACGGCTAACAGAAATAAAAAATAATCCGACTAATTAACAGAACGATAAACGAACACAAATTAATTTAATGAATAACCACGAGCATGGATATAACGAGAAGATTCGAAATAATTTACCCATCTTCGGGAATATCGGAAAGACGGTCAACGACGAACCTCGAAAACTCGAACGGTAACCTTGACGGACGGAATTGCGTGACAAGAGGGGCTCACTGGAATCATTGTTCACGTCGGGACCGCACGCCGGTGAGGAACTGAAACGCCATGTTCATTGGTGGCGGAGGGCTGGTCGCGCGGAAATGATGGCGATGACGATGATGGTGGTGACAGGAACTCAGTGTTGCAGATGAGTGACGATGGTGGAATAAATATTATGGTGGCAGGAACAAAAAGAGCGAGAGAAAGAGCTGTGAAGCTTTCTGAAACTTTCTCAAGTGCAGGTGAAGATGATGGTGGTTTATAGAGGAGAGAAATAGATATTAACGTTTCAACCGATTTATGGCCATGATTAAAAGACTAATCCTCATAATTATAAGATTAATAAGGATTAATATCTCTAATTAATTTGACCATTTAAAAAAACAATGAATAGATCGGTTATTGGTCATGGCAGATTAAGGTTCACGACTCACGGGTCGGGTTTCCTCGATTCGATACTTACGATATTTCGGGCTCGGTTCGGTCAAACGATAAATTAAAATAAAACAGGAACAAAGATATTTATATATATATATAATATACAATAATTATTAATATATAATAATTATATATAATACACTAATACATTTATTTAATAGTAATAATATACATTTAGACATTTAATAACATTTAGGCATTTAGCACAAATAATAAAAATAATAAAAATAGTAATAATAATAATAATAATAATAATAATAATAATAATAATAATAATAATAATAATAATAATAATAATAATAATAATAATAATAATTAGACAATTAGACATTAAATATAAATAATAATAACAATAATGGAAAATAATTAATCTCAAATAATCCATAATCAAACGGGGTATTACAGTGGTGGACTTTAGCGAGTTGCGGGTCGAGCGAGACCTTAGATATATGGAGGTACCGGTGGGTGTAATGGACCGGAAGGTCCATCAGCTAAGGAACCGGGCAGTTAGTCTCGTGAAGGTGCAGTGAAGCCGACATGACGAGTTTGACGCGACTTGGGAGTGTGAGGTCGATATTAGGAGGAGATACCCAATTCACGTTTTGAGTTCTTTTGTATTCATTTAGCATGTTAGCTTTCTTTTGATTCCGAATCCCGAGGACATAATTCTTTTTAAGGTGGGTAGACTGTAATGCCCTGTTCGGTTTTGAGATTTTTCGATTAATATTTTATTGGCATTATTATAGTTATTTGAATTAATTTCCTATGTGGAAATATTCTTCGATTAATATATATATTATTGTAATAGTTACTTCTATCGTTCCGAAAATATATATATGATATAGAATATTATACCCACAAGACTAAACCGCTCTGCCATACGGGTCGAAGAAGTTGTACCGTGAGTAAACCAAGCCGAGTAGCGAAAGATCCACCAGTCCAGCAATCGACCAGTCAAGTAATCAACCAGTCCAGCAGTCTACCAGTCAAGTAGTCGACCAGTCCAGCAGTCGACCAGTTCAGCAGTCGACCAGTTCAGCAGTCGAGTAGTCCAGTCGACCTCAACAGGTCGACCACTTCGTGGACTCAACACTTTGTGGATGGACCTAGTCACAGGCGCCGTGAAAGAGCCTCTAACCGAATTTTAAAGGAATATTCAAGAGAATAGTTATCTCATGTGCAGCAGGACACGTGGCGATGACACATTGGTTGATAACGACAACCACCTCTGACACCACCACCTCTGAAACTACCACCTATGACACCCCCTCTGATATGCGTGCGCTTTGTCAGGGTACGGACGGGCAGCCGGGGCAGCCAGCTCACCTGGTCCGGGCAGCCCTTAGGTCAGGTATTTCATCCCTATATAAATGGGTGTGTGCCTTTCTTCCTTTAGACACAATCTCCATTATTCAACTCAAGTATACTCATTCACATACTGATTTAAACATCGGAGGCTCTTCACGGGACACAACCCTCGGTGTAAGAGTTATTTGCAGGTTTCTGGCGTTCTACCGGCGAGGACAATAATCGATCTACTATGAGGTGGACCAGGACGTTAACACTTGCATTATTGGCGCAGTCTGTGGGACATTTGTTCGAGAAGTTGTGTTTGAAGCTCAGGTATGGCGGACAGAGTTCCCAAAAACTTGCAGTCGACGTTCGACAACGCTTGGACGACGACTAGGCCGCTGGGGCAAGGCCCTTTTCCGAGCTTCTCTGGCCCTTCGCAGACGCCGGTTACTCCTATCCCCGTCCTTCCAGGTATCGGAGCAACGTCGGTGGTTCCCGGAGGAGAGGCAGGCTCTAATCATGTCCAGGAGGCTCGCGCAGTAGCCACAGCGGCGATGCCACCACTGCCGCCCCAAAACCTGGTGGTGGTGCAACCAGGAGGAACAACGGTGCAAGAAGGAGTGCCACCGCAGGCAGGCGTGCAAGCTCCCTGTCAGCAGGTGGTGGCGATGACCAGGGAGGAGATGCAGAGGATGGTGGCGGCCGCGGCGCGCAGGCAGTTCAACAAGGCACAAGTCACACGTCTCATGCCACAACCGCGCTGGCCATGGTGGTGGGAAGTCAGGATAAGGATGTGTCTTGCTATGGAGATAGAGGAGGTGTAAGGGATCGTGCGATGGAGAGGATGGCGGAGCAGTTGCGCCAGTTACGGGATAAGGTCGAGTGGAGGCCGGAGAGTAGAGCTCGAGGGAAATTCTCGCGGCCCCTTTGCCAAATAATTTCAGGGAGACCAACTTGGTGTATGATGGGTCATCTGACCTGTCGAGGCATGTGAGGACTTTTGAAAATATGGCTTTGTTACATGGATATTGTTTTTCCGTGTGTTGCATGGCATTTTTATCGACCTTATGTGGAGGAGTGCTTGACTGGTTTTTCGGCTTCCTGCTGGGTCGATTGCGAACTTTGGGGATTTCGCCAGTAAGCTCACAACCTAATACTCGATCGCGGTGGCCCAGGAGAAAACGTATTTGACCTTGATGGTGATGAAGCAGGGAGCAAAGGAGTCGATGAGGAAGTATGTTGCTCGATATAATCAAACGTGCTTGGAAGTACACACGGTGTCTAATGAGGTGAAGGCAGGTGGATTGATAAGGAGTCTTCGAGCAGGGCCATGTCGAACTTCTTTGTCAAAGACCCCTGCTCGATCATACGAGGATGTGTTGAAGAGGTGCAGAAAGTATATCAATCTAGAGGAGATGGAAGTGGAGTTTGCCAATGGAGGGAGCTGCTCGACCAGAGCCGAAGAAGGAGAATATCCCACCGCGAGGAAGGTCGCCCAACAGGAGTTCACCCAAGCGGAGTGGGCCAAATGGGGGATTGCCCAGGATAGATGGACGAGATGCAAAACAAGCTAGAAGGGATGATCGGTGGCAGGGGAGGCCGTTATTGTTCAAGAGGCAGAGGTACCACAATTTTATACCTTTGAGGAAGGATATGACGGAGGTGCTCGAGGCGATGGAGCAGAAGATGTCGAGTGAGGATGTTACATGGCCGAAGACGAGGTTTACAGGTCCGACTCGGCCTCGATCGGATATTTATAGTCACTTTTACCGGGACTATGGCCATACCACGGAGAATTGTAGGCATTTGAAGGATGAGATCGAGCGATTGATTCGGGCAGGACACTTGAAGCATTTCGTTTATCATGATTGGGCGAAAGGAAAAGGAAGGCGGAGGTGTCGGGAGGATTCAGAGAAGAGGAGTGATCGAGATTAAGAAGGTGATGAGTCGAGAGGAGAAAGAGATGGTCGAGGGAAGAAACCGAGGAGGGGAGAGGGAGATAGAGGAGGACAAGGAGGTGAGGCGCCGCTGAAAAGGGGAACAATTTATATAATCTCAGGAGGGCCGACGGATGGTGACTCGAATAATGCCAGGACAGAGCATGCTCGAACAGTAAAGAGGAAGAGAGAGGAGGTCGGAATTACAGCGCACATACCGATTATAAGTTTTAAAGCAGATGATGTTAAAGGAGTTGTGTTGCCACACAATGACGCCCTGGTGATTACTGCGGAGGTGGCAGGTTTCGATGTAAAGAGGGTGTTTATTGATACCGGGAGTTCGGTGGATGTATTTTTTTTTTACTGTTTTTCGCAGATTAACAAGGAGTTGAACATGAAATTGAAGCCAGTGGCCACGGCTCTTTATGGTTTTAATGGAGGGGAAGTAATGCCGATGGGTGAGGTGAGTTTGCTGTGGCACTGGGATCAGGAGTGACGAGGAAAGTGCGAATGGTGAGGTTCGTGGTGGTAGGAGCTGAGTCGTCTTATAACATCATTATGGAGAGGACGAGCTTGAACGCATTCCAGAAAGTCGTGTCAACGTACCATATGACGATTAAATATACAGTGGGCGAGAACGTTGTTGATATCGCAGGGGATCAACTTACCTTGAGGAGTTGCTATCAGACGACGGTGAGCAACAACAAACAATTGGCAAAGCTGATCCCATGGTGAGCAACATATGAGGAGAGGAAGTTTAGAATTGGGAAAGGGCTGGAGGAACCGATTAGGTCGAAGCTGATCAGTATGGTGAGGAAATTTGCTGATATCTTGGCCTATACGGCAAAAGAATTGACAGGAATGAGTGTGGAGGTGGTTGAGCACCGTCTGAACATTGACCTCAGTGTGAGGCCGGTGAAGCAAAAAAGAAGGCACCATGGGGCGGAGATGGATCGGATCATCGAGCAGGAGGTGGAGAAGTTGCTGGGTGCAGGGTATATTAAGGAGATCCAGTTCCCAGAGTGGTTATCGAACACGATGATGGTGTCCAAGGCCGATGGGAAGTGGAGAATGTGTATTGATTTCTGTGATCAGAACAAAGCGTGCCCAAAAGATTTATACCCGGTGCCTCGGATCGACCAGCTGGTCGATTCGACCGCTTGATGTGAGTTATTGAGCCTGATGGATGCCTTGAAAGGGTATCATCAAATTCCTTTGGCAAGAGAGGACAGGAAAAGGGTGAGTTTTGTGATAAGCCGAGGAACTTATTGTTACGTGGTGATGTTGTTCGGTTTGAATAACGCAGGTGCCACATACCAAAGGTTGATGGAAAAAATCTTCAAGGAGCAGTTGGGTAGAAACATGGAAGTATATGTGGACGATATGCTAGTAAAAAGCAAGGAGGAGATAGATCATGTGCGTGACTTAAAAGAGACATTCTTGACTTTAAGGTGGTACGGGATGAAGCTGAACCCAGCCAAGTGCTTGTTCAGGGTGAAGTCGGGAAAATTCTTGGGTTACTTGGTAACCAAGAGAGGTATTGAGGTAAATCCGGAAAAGGTACAAGCGGATGGAGATGAAGTCACCGACGAATGTTAAGAAGGTGCAAATCTTGGCTGGTCGAATTGCAGGGTTGAGTCATTTTATATCAAAGGTAGCGGAGAGGAGTGGCCCAGTGTTTAAAACATTGAAGAAGAACACAAATTTCCATTGGACTGAGGAGGCTCAACGTGCGTTCGAGAAGTAACGAGGGTTGTTAGCCAACCTTTCCCTGTTGGCCAAGCCGGTTCAAGGAGAAGATTTAGTTCTATACATTTCTATTGGGGAGAGGGCGGTGAGTTCTGTGCTGTTGCGAGAAGAGGGGGTAGCGCAATTTTCTATCTATTACGTAAGCAGGGTAATGCAAGGAGCTGAGATGAGATACTTGGAGATCGAGAAGTGTGCTCTGGCAGGGGTTGTAACTGCTCAAAAACTGAGGCCTTATTTCTTAAATCATAAGGTAAAAGTGAGAGCAAATATGCCGCGGGGAGAGACGCTCGGTCGGCCTCAGTTTCTGGTCGATTGGTGAAATGGGCGGTCGAGCTAAGTGAATACTCATTGCTGTATAAGCCGAGGAGCGCTATAAAGGCGCAGGTGTTGGCAGATTTTATCTAGGAGAGTATGAAGGATGAGGAGAAATCGGGAGGAGTGTGGCAACTGTTTGTGGATGGATCGGTGGCGAGAAGTGGAGCAGAATTAGGAATTGTCCTTGTTTCTCCTAAGGGCGATTATTTAGAGTTCGCAGCCAAGGTGGGATTTAAGGTGTCCAACAATGTGGCCGAATATGAGATGGTGATCAAAGTGGTGCAATTGACAATGTCCAGAGGAGCTCGGAAGGTACAAATTCATTCTGACTCTCAACTAGTAGTGGGGAAATTTCAGGAGGGATTAGAAGTCAAGGAGGATCGGATGCAGAAATATGTGGACGAGATGAAGAAGATGAAAGAGGAGTTTTGATTCATTCGAGCTATTACAGATTCCTCGGGGGGAGAATGGTCGAGCATATTTGTTGTCAAAAATTTCTCAAAGCCTGGTGGATTGTAAGAGCATGAGTGTAACCTTGTTGCATTTGAAGATAAGTGTGGTCGATGCGGAGGCTGAGATTGAGGAGGTCGAGAATTTTAGGGCCCCGATCCTTAAGGAGTTGAAGGAAAGGGCAATGAAAGCGGTAAGGAGGTTTTTTGAGTATGGAGGTATCCTGTACAAACGATTGTATACGGGGCCACATCTACGATGTGTGACTAGATATGAAGGTCGATATGTGCTGAAGGAACTGCACGAAGTGTGTCGCAGCCATAATAGCAGGTCGGGAGCCCTAGCTGCAAAAATTCTGAGAGCAAGGTATTTTTGGCCGATGATGAAGGAGAATGCTAAGTTGATGGTGAAAAAATGTTTACAATGCCAGAACCACGACCCACTTATCCATCAACCGGCAGAGGCGATGACAATGATTAGTGCACCTATACCATTCAACCAATGGGGAATCGACCTGGTGGGTCCGATGCCTCAAGGGTCGGGGCAGAGGAAATTTTTTATTGTGGCAATGGACTATTTCACGAAATGGGTGGAGGCCGAACCTTTGGCAAAGATCACGAAGGAGAAAGTCATCAACTTTTTATATAACAATATTTGCTGCAGGTTCAGCGTCCCAAGGTGTTGGTGTCCGACAATGGAACTCAATTCAACGACAAGCAGATTCGAGTGTGGTGTGAAGACATGAAAATCGAACAAAACTTTGCCTCAGTCACTCATCCGCAAGCCAACGAACCAGTCGAGGTGACCAACAGGATCATATTGAACGGGCTAAAAACAAGGTTGGAAAAGGCCTCGGGGGCGTGGGTCGATGAGTTAACCTCAGTACTTTGGGCATACCGCACTACCCCGAGGTCGACCACAGGAGAAACCCCATTCAGCCTAGTTTATGGGATGGAAGCATTGCTGCCGGTCGAGGTCAAGTTAATGTCACAAAGATCGAGCACATATGACCAGCAGCAGAATGAAGGCTTAATGATGGCGGCTTTAGATACCATCGAAGAGCTCCGAGAAAGAGCAGCGATCAGGGTAGAGGCATACAAGCAAAGGATGCGAGCAGCCCATGATGAGAAGGTCAAAGCCCGCAGGTTCCAAGTGGGCGACCTGGTATGGAAAAGGGTCGATGTGCTAAAGCATGTGGGAAAACTGGAGCCAAACTGGGAAGGACCATATCTGGTCGAGAAGGTGCATGAAGGAGGAGCATACTCTCTAAATGATGCTGAAGGGCGATCGCTAGCTAGGTCATGGAACATTGCTAACTTGAAAAACTATTATGTGTAAAAATTTTCTTTTGTATGAAAGTCGATCAATGATATAACTTGAAGAGATTGCACAATGATGAATGGAATTTCGTTTTCTTTACAAATATGTTCACCTTCCCCCGCACACTCTTACATTAGACATGTTGGTATGATATGGATAACAGGATGTGTAAATTGATCTGAATGGAGGATGCTTGCTTAGAATACCTC